AATTGGATGTTGGTGTGCAGATAATGAAGATAGAAACTGCTGGTAGTGAGCCACATCTATTCAAGTATAATCGCCAATTCGGGTTGTTAGGCATTCGAATGAATCAATGCTCATGGCTAAGTTCATGTTGACAAGGACACTGACACCACCGATGCCTCTTTTGTCGCATGTTCCAAGGAACAGTTCTCCAATGTAGAAAACGGCGTGTTGTGATTGATGCCTTCTCATCTCGGTCAGACCAATGATGTTGTACTTGACCTTTTGTGCTTGTACCATCAGATCCTCAATGGATGCATCAGATACCACCTTTTGTGCATTGAAAGTACAGACAGTCATTTTTGTCTTTCTTCATTTTGGCAGCCTAGTTCGGCCTTGAGATTTTTTCAACCTCTCCTTCCACATCCTTCTCAATTCTGCCGTATTCAGGGTCAGGGGAATGAGACCCATTGTATTTACTGGATTTGGCATATTGAATACACCACTGATAGCTTGCCAGGCTCTGCTGTGTGGGTGGGATATTCTCGGTAGCCTGAAAACACAAATAAACTTTACAAGTGTTCCTATTCAGGCATATGTGCTGATATGATACTTTGAATAGCCTTCCGGGTTTTCTGAGAGCAAGAACTAGAGTATAAGAAGTCGCTTCCGGGAGCTTGGTGTTATAATCTCTGGATCCTGGCCATTTATGGGTTTACACGGCAGTTGGTGGGTGTAACTGTCTAGCTACTGGAAGGCCCAGTTCTGAACTGAGCAGGCTTGGAGATCTCAGCCCCAGGTCCTGCATAACTGGGTTCCTCTGCCAGTTTCTTCATGCTGAGGCTCATCCAAGCATGTGGAGAGTGGTCTCAGCATGGCTTTGGCTGGGTCCTGGAGACCTTCAGCTGTCGGACCCTGGTGAGGACAGCCAGGCACGGGGTTAGGAGACTCTTCTTTGTTCTCTTCCGGGAGCTTGGTGTTATAGTCTCTGGATCCTGGCCATTGATATTTGTTCTGATAAAAAATATAAACTTCCCTGATGTTTTTTTATTTTGGTCTACATTATGTATGGTAACTTTCAGTGTGAGCTGGTGTTTGTGTGAGAGCTCAGTATTTTTTTCCTCATAGGTAGCAGAGAGTTGGGTTTTGTTTCTTGATCCATCCAGTCATTCTGTCTTTATTTTTTTTTTTTTTTGGCTTGTGGGTCACACCCGGCAATGCACAGGGGTCACTCCTGGCTCTGTATTCAGAAATTACCCCTGGAAGTTCTCAGGGGACCATATGGGATGTTGGGTATCGAACTTGTGTCAGCGTGTGCAAGGCAAATGCCCTACCTGCTGTGCTATCGCTCCAGCCCCTCATTCTGTCTTTTGACAGGAGAGCTCATTCAGTTGATGTTTGAAAAAATTATTAACATCAAAGAAATTGTTGCATTTATATGAGGATTTAGTTTAGTTTTTTTAAATAAATATTTTGTATTCTTTTATAGGTAGCCAGTATTTTTGTAGGTCTGGTTTAAATATAACAAATGTCTTCAGCTGTTGTTTGAGGATACTTTTTATCACTCCAAATCTGAGTGCTAACCTCACTCACTGAAGTTTTTATAGTTAATGGTTCTCTTCCTCTTCCCTTCCCTTCCTTTCCCTTCCCTTCCTTCCCCTCCCCTCCCCTCCATTCCCCATCCCAACCCTGCTCTCTCACTTCTTCTTCCATCCTCTCCCCTCCTCTCCCCTCCTGTCCCCTCCTCTCCTCTCCACTCCACTCTTCTTCCCTTCCCTCTCCTCCCCTCCTGCTCCCCTCTTCTTCCCCTCCCCTTCCCAATATATTTTGATACTTCTTGAGAACTAAGGGTATTCTTAATATGCTCATCAGTGATCTAGTCACAAAGTCAAGTTGGTGCCTATAGCTCTACTGATTTCTGGTAGCCCCAAATTCCTTGTTCAGATGTCTTAAATGCTTGCAAAATCCATCTGGTGCCAGTGTCTCTGATTTGCGTTCTCTGGAAGACAACATGGGATTTGTGGCACTTGTGTCCTATAGATGCTGTAACACCAAGCTCTAGCTTGTCTGGAATCTTCCCATAGTTTATAGATAGAGTGTCTGACAGTTCATCTGACATCATAATCTAACAGACTTAGACAATGTGACTGGAAATCACAGCTGTTCAGCAGGTTGATCTTTACAGCAACAAGGAAAGTTTTGCATTTGTCAGTTGTGATTAGTGGATGACAGTTCTGCACCTCCAGTTTATGCTACTGTTGCTGCCTCAGTGATGGCCGTCCTCAGTTGAGTTTTTTGGAATTGCTGTTCTCAGCTGTGGCTATCAGTTATTTCCAAATAACTGCCCTTGGCTGTGCTGAGTACAGTTTCCAATCTTTTTCTATTACTATCAGTACAGCTAAAATACTGAAGCATTTTAAACCTTTGTACTAGGACTTATCCATTTTAGGTTTGAAATCAAACCAGTGCACCCACTCTGCTTCCTTTGATTCAAATCTGGCTGCCAGTTCAAATTGTTAGGCAACTGTTACTGAAAGGTACAGCAAGTTCCATTGGAGTGAAGTCAGATTAGCATCATCTCAGGGTGGGATTGAAGCTGAGATGGCTTTGAACCAAGCTACGTGAAGCAGAGGTTGGGACCCTGGGTGGCTGTTCCTTTCCTAGCCTTACCAGGTGTGCCACACTACCTTTTGTTGGGTTTAAGAAGTCCTGAGACTTTGAGTCTTGTGAGAGGCAATATAATAAGTGATTCTGAAAAGCCCAGTAGCTCAGCAGAAATATGTCAGGTGGTAGTTTGGATTAGGGCTGTGCTGCATCAATTTAGGAGGTGAACTTTTGGGGGTGGGGTGGTAGGGGGTGGTTGGTGAAGACTACAACCCTAATGGCTTGACTCACTCAGGAAAGGTGGCTTCTTTTCAGCACATGATCAGCAGCCAATCTTCCTGTTGTGTTGCTAAGACCCAAGTCTTTTTTGTTTTGTTTGTTTGGTTTGGTTTTTAGGGCCACACCTGGTAGTGCTCAGAGCTTACTCCCGATTCTGCACTCAGGAATAACGCCTGGTAGTGCTAGGAGGATCATATGGGATGCCAATGATTGAACCCTGTTGGCTTCATGCAAGACAAATGTCCAACCTTCTGTACTATCCTTCTGGCCCTGACAAGTCTGTTTTTGATTTAGTGATTGCAGGTATAAAATTGATATCCTGTGTGTCCTTTGCATTCAGCCCCCTTCCGCCTTACTTGGCACTTTCTGTAAAGGACCTGCTTGCTTTGCTCAAGTTGGCGTTCCTTTTCTCTTTCAGTCTGTGTTCTCCCTTCCTCCCACCCAGAGGAAGCCCTCCTTAAACCAATGTCTCCTTCCTCTGAGTTGAGTTTTCCTGATGTGGTTGCTGTATTTTTCAGTTAATTTTCTCAGTGATCCCCTCTCAGTTGGCTATGTTCTGTTCAGGCTTTAGGTGTTCTTTGTGTTGATGCCACAGAAGGGCTCACATTATTTTTGGTTATCTTGGCTATACTTGATATGCCAAAATTTCTTTACAACTCATTTGAGACTGTATTTTGGATTATTTCCAGATGTGAGCTATTGTAGATAATGCTGCAATGAATATAGGTGTGCATAAATCTTTTCAAATTACTTTTTATGCTATCTTGAGATAGACACTATGAGGATCATATGGAAGTTCTGCTTTTTTCAATAAGTCTTCACATTGTTTTTCATAGACATTAGCCAGACAACACTCTTACCAGCAGTGAATGAGCATGCCTTTTTCATCTTTTCTTTTCCAACACTGGCTGATCTCAGTCTTTTTTTCCATTAAACATTTTCACTAGTATGAGATAAGAGCAACAAACTTCCTTTCAGATGAACGGTTCTCACCTATTTATGGACTTGCGTATTTATAGGGTTATCTAAAACAATGTTTCTTAATCTCAGTAGAATAATCTAGGGGATGATTTGGAAAACTCAAATGCTAGGGTACTCCCCAAACTAGTTTAGTAGGAATTTCTAGTGGTGAATATGAATGTCAGCATTATTTGAAGAGGATTCCAGCATATAACCAAAGTCAAGAAAATTATTTTAGATAATTCTGCAAAGCAGAACTCACATATTACTATCCTGTCTTCTAATTTTTGGCTCTGTTCAGGAAATATTCCTGGCACGATGCTTAGTTATTACATGTGGCTGTGCTTAAGGGACCATATCTGGATATCCATACCTGGATATTGAATTTGAGTTGGCCGCAAACACCTCAATCCCTATACTATCTATCCAAACTCATGTCTTCTATGTTTTTTTGAAGTGTTAAATATTCACTAACTTTTTTGAGGTGATAAATATTCAGAATAATATTATGAAGTGTCATAATATTCACTATCAGGTTATATGCCAGGCATTTAGTCAATTTCCTAAAGGCTGAGTTGGTATCATAGCAACAATGAGCAGTTTTGTTTTGTTTTTTAAACTGAGAGACTCTAAGTGCAGATGGGTAGGTTTAGCTCAGTCCTCCCTGAAATTCTCTCAGTGACAAAAAGAGCAGCATCCTATTGGAGATGACTTCCTAGTTCTCTATCATGCCTTTATTATTGCCATAAACGGAAAGGAGAGTTTTGCAAAAAGTGACCTATGAAGGCTATATATAAATGCCCATTTCCTCTTTCCAGAGCATAACTCATGGATCCTAAATCTGATATTTTAATTCAGGAAATATCAGCCAGTGGTTATTGACCTGTCTTTCTGAAATATGAATTTCTAATAAAACTTGGGCAGACTATCAGAATTCCTCATAAATCTAGTTGAATTTTAAGAAAGCCCGAGGATGAATTTGATATAGATGTGCTTTCAATTTGGGGGAGAACATACTATAACAAGAACAGCTGAGGTCACACAATTTCAGACCTAGAAACGGCTAGTGTTCTCAGGCTGTTTCTAATGAGGAAATAGCCTTCCAAGGCACCATGGAATTGAAGAGTTAATAAAAGAAGGAAGGACATTGTCACTTCCCCTCGGCTCCCCAGCCTACTTACCTTAAAATCAGTGATCTGATAACCTTTCCTCAGTGTGATCTGGAATACATCCATGGAGCTGATGAAAGCTGCAAGCCTTGTCAGACTCTGCTTGCCACTCCCACCAACACCAACCAACAGAGCATTTCCCCGTGGGGATTCCAAGATGCGACTGATATGGCAGCTAAAGAGAAGGGAACAGAGGCATTGAGCAGTGTCAGACTTAGGTTGTCAGGACCATCCATAATGGTCTGAAAATTAGTACCCTCGCAGGCCCACCATGGACTGAGTTCTGAGAAATGAATTAATTAGTAACCATAACTCGTTTTACCTTCCTGCCCAAGGATTTTCATTAAGTCACAACCTTCTGTGAATTAGTGGTAGTAGAGGAAGAATTCTCAAAGTCAGGCATGACTAGAGATGTGGGATCAGAGATGAAGGAAAGAGGCTTGTACTCCTTTCCCAGCCAAGACAAACCTGACTCTATCACATAGCCCTACTTTATTTTATCTTACATGTTTTTATTTTTAGGTAAGATAATGGGGCAGAAAAAGTGGAAATCTTACAGCTAGAGAAACAAAAATTAGAAAAAATCAGGAAGTCTAAAAACTAAGAAGGAATAGAACTTTTTATCTTAGAAAAGGAGCATAAGTGGGCTTCTGGGTACCAGAACTCTGTCACCCCTCTCCCTCTCACTATGGTGAGGCTCTGGATATAAAGTGTTGACCAGGGACCCTGAGTGTCTCCACCTTGCTAACCCTAGCCCCTCAATGAGGGAGTCGCACTGTCTGACATCAGCTCTAATTCTTTGAACCCAGAAACCGTGTTCACATGAGATTATTACTAAACACAATTTCATATTGAAGACAGTGAATTCAGTGACTAGACTTCACTAACTAATACAGTCCATATATCTCAGTCAACAAATGGAATGACTATTTAAATACTATTAAATTATAGACTAATAGCAGTACACGGTAAGAGAAATAATCTGAAAACAGAGGTGTTCTCAGCAGCCCTCTGTTCTAAGCAACTAAACACATCAGTTCTTAAGTAACTGGGGACCTATTCCTCCAATACCAAGCCACATAAAAATCAACAATAAAGAAACTAAGGAACCCAACTGCTGTGTCATACAAAGATAGAAACTAAGGAAAATATTCAAACCCATTAAAATCCTCAAGACTGATTGATAGGGACCTGAAATCAACATTGTGATATTGCCAATTAAAATTAAGCAAGAACTGGCCAGTTAAATTAAGCAATCACTAGATGAGAAATCCAACCAACTCAACGAAGAACTGATTCAGAGAACTGATTCAGAGAATGACAGAGTCCATACAAAATGAATGAAAGGAACTAAAGAATATAAGCTATCGTGGCAGAATTGTACAGGTGGAGAACCACAGAGAGGAAGTTAATAAAATGCAAACCAACATTGACAGGGAAATGACAAAAGAAAAAAGCACTAGAGGGGCGCGTGCGGGAAGGGGCTGGTGAGGAAGGATCACCGGTGAGATCCTGAGGCGAGGCTCACTTGCACCCGACCCCGCCCGTGGCCCCCAGCGCCCACCGAGTCGTCATGGCTCAGCCAAGATCAAGGCAATTCTCATCTTCAACAACCAGGGGAAGCCGTGGAAGTTCTACCAGCCCTACAGTGAAGATACACAACAGCAGATCATCAGGGAGACATTCCATTTGGTATCTAAGAGAGATGAAAATGTTTGTAATTTCCTAGAAGGAGGATTATTGATTGGAAGATCTGACAACAAACTGATATACAGACATTATGCAACATTATATTTTGTTTTCTGCGTAGATTCTTCAGAAAGTGAACTTGGCATTTTAGACTTAATTCAGGTTTTTGAGGAAACACTAGACAACTGTTTTGAAAATGTTTGTGAACTGGATTTAATTTTCCATGTAAACAAGTTTCACAATATCCTTGCAGAAATGGTGATGGGGGCAATGGTCTTGGAGACCAATATGAATGAAATTGTCACAAAAATTGATGCACAAAACAAACTGGAGAAATCTGATGCTGGCTTAGCAGGAGCTCCAGCCCATGCTGTATCAACTGTAAAGAATATGAATCTTCCTGAAATCCCAAGAAATATTAACATTGGTGACATCAGTATAAAAGTACCAAACCAGCCCTCTTTTAAATAAAAAATTATAAAGACCACTCCCAGGTAAAATCCAGTGGGAACAAGTCTTCTAAGTTTGCCATGCAGTTGTTTACGAAAAATAGAGGGGAGTCTTAACTTTTGCTCTTGGATTTAAGTCAAGGTACTGTATAGAATTTGTTTAAATCAGTATGGAAGTTCAATGTTGCTTTTCTTGTTTAGTGGTTTTAAAGAAATTGAGTAGTTTTGGTGTAATTTTTCTTTTTCTTCCTAAACGGCATTCCTGTTTCCACCTAAGGCATGCCTCTATGTATTGGCTACCACAGTATTTCAAAAAGTGTTTGAGACATTTCTTTAAATTATGTACAACACAAAATGTTTGGTGTTTTGTATGGATCACAAGTGCAGCATTCCTTAATTCTTTTGTACTTGTCATAATTGTTAAAGAACCAAGTATGTATTGTATGAAAACATGACCTTTTTCTCTTAGTTGAAATAAACTCCAAGGTAACTGGACTTCAAAAGCAAATAAAAAGAAAAGAAAAGAAAATAACACTAGAGTAGGAGAAAATGTAATTAGTACATAGCAGCTAGAGAAACATTCTCCAAATTATAAGAATATCAGGAGAGGAAAATGAGAAAGCAGAACAAGTGGTGGGAGAGATCATTGCTGAGAAATTTTCCACTCTCTGGAGGGAAGCTGATACGTAGATCCAAGAGACCTAATGATTACCAAGCAAAATAAACCCCACAGAACAACTCCAAGACAAATAATAATCAAAATGGCAGAATCAAAAGAGAGAAAAAACTTCTTAATTCTTCTAGAGAGAAAAGAACGTTAAATATAAGGGAAACAATGTAAGAACAATCACAACAGATCTCTCATATGTAATACAAGAGTGTAGAGTGTAATGACACATTTAAATTTCTCACTGAAAGAACTTTTAACTTGCAGTTCACTACCACGCAAAGCCTCATATAGGTGAGAGAGAAGAATCAAAGGACTCTCAGACAAACAAGAGCTGACAACATTATCTTTTTTTTTTATTATTAGTGAAACACCATGAGGTACAGTTGTAGATTTACAATTTTTTGTGCTTGGGTTTCTATTATACAATGATCAAATACCCATCCCTCCACCAGTGCCCATTTTCCACCACCATGGATAATATCCCTCCCACCCCCATCCCTCCCGTCCCACCCTGCCTCTGTGGCAAGGCATTCCCTTTTGTTCTCTCTCTCCTTTTGGGTGACAACATTATCTTTAATGAAACTGGTCCTGAATGAGATACTGAATGGCCATTTATAGAAACCAAACAGAAGCAAAACCCTACACAGTAAAATGGCAACATGGCCTTTTATATCAATATTCTCTCTGAGTGTCAAAGGACTAAACTCTCCTATCAAAAAACAGAGTGGCGGGATAGATTAGGAACAAAATCCATTCATTTGCTGCTTACAGGAAACACAGCTAAAATTAGATGGTAGACACAGGCTTATAGTGAAAGGGTGGAAAACAATCATATAAGTCAATGGTGAACAGAAAAAAATGAGAGTCATATTTATATCAGACCAAATAGCATTTGATGTAAAGAAATGAATAAGAGATAGGGATGGACATTATTTTTGGTGAAGGAAACAATAGACCAAGAAGTACTCACGTTATCACGTATGCACCAAGTGTAGGATCAGCAAGGTTTATAAGGTTTTTGATCACAAATCAAAAGAACCATATGGTTGGAAACACAATAGTAGTGGGGGATTTCAACACTCCACTGTAATCACTAGACAGATCAGTTAGACAGAATATCAGGAAAGACATAAAAACCCTAAATGAAGGGCTAGAACGTGGATTAGTGGATATAAACAGGACCTTATATTCTCAAAAACCCAAATCACATTCTTCTCTAGTGCACATGGGGCCTTCTCCCAGATAGATCACATATTAGACATAATACAATCCTTCATAAATTTACAAACATAAAAATCATACCAAGAATCCTATCAGATCATAATACCACAGAGATAGAAATTAATCATCAGGGCATGGTGAGGGATGACATCGAAAAGACAGGCCCTGTCTGCAGCCACAGGTACAGATAAGCACCTAGGCTGGAAGGGATACCTGCATTCTTAGAAATGCACCGGCAGTAGGATTTGAACTGTAACCCAGGATCTGTGCCAGCTCATGTCCCCTTATCCCACAGGTAAAATAGCAGTGAGGATGGTGGCCTCCAGGACAAGGCCCCCAGTTAATTTCATAGTGCATTGGATCAATCTCCCAGCCTTCTAAACCAAACTCTTGTGAGGACAGCCTGGCTACCCAACCATATTAGGCCAATAGTCCACTATTCCTATCAAAATATCCCCCAAACCTAATAAAATAACACTGAATGCAAGAATCTTTACAACCCCAATCTAAAAGAACATGTCCCTGGAATCAGCGCTAGAGGCCCTATACGAGTCACACACACAGAAGCACCAAAGAGGAAGATAATATCATTGAAGGGGAAAGTGGAGGCCACCATCTACTGAGCTCCCATACAGTCCTCCCTGACAGTGACAGGCGGAAACTGGAAGTGAACTGGGAAGATCCACCTCTAAACTGCCACATCATCATGGGGAAACAGTGCAGATCCCCACAACAAGGAGTGAATGAAGAAAAGAACCCTGAAGTCTCAACAAGGAATACCCACATAATAATCTCTCTGATAAAGAATTTAGAGATGAAATGGTGAGGATGCTTAATGAGCTCAAAAAACAGTGGAATGTAGAGCCAATTAAATACAGGAGTATATGAAAGAAATAGTGGAATTGGAGTCAATAAAATACAGAAGAAAATCAGAGCAAAAATAAGAAAATTATGACAGAAGTGTCAGTAATAAAACTTTTTGGTAGATGAAATAAAAAACTCAGTCGGTGTCCTCAACAGTAGAATGACAAATAGCTGAATACAAAATCAGTGAGCTTGAAGATGAGCTTTAGAAAGCATCTAGGCAACAATTAAAAAAGGGGAAAATATCTCAAAATAGCTCAAGGTCAGATAAAGATGTAAGAGGATGAATTCAAGAGGAACAATACAAGAATCATGAGTCCCAGAGGGATAGGAAGGCAAACCCAATGAGGTAGTAAAGACATCATTGCTCTAAAGATCCCAGAGGTGGAGAATGCAGCCATCTAAATTCAAGAAGCCCAAAGGGCACCAGTTAAAAAAGACCCTAATAAAAAGTCTTCAAGACATATCATAATCAGAATGATGAATACCACAGATAGAGTCACAACGCTGTGAGCAGCAAGATCAAAGAAGGGAATCACATACAAAGGAGCATCCCTTATGAAACCTTCTGGACCTGAAGACAGTGGTGGGATATAATGAAAAAAGTCACTGAAATGAACACCCCACTAAGAATACTTTATCAGGCTAGACTCTCATTTAGATTTAAAGGAAGAAAACACAGATTCTTGTATAAACAACAGTTCAGGAATTTCATAGACATAAAGCCAACTTTAAAATAAGAACTGTAAGACAAGATAAACCCCACAAACATAACAAACTTCTACAGAAAGATGGCAAAAGAAAAAAAACATGCCAAGAATCTTTCTCAATGGTGTAAACACAATAATTAAGAGAACAAAGTGGCAAAATAGATTTACGGTCACGGTCCTCCCGTTGTTCATCGATTTACTCGAGCGGGCCCAGTAACGTCTCCATCATGAGACTTGTTGTTACTGTGTTTGGCATATTGAATATGTCATGGGTAGCTTGCCAGGCTCTGCCGTGCAGGCGAGATACTCTCGGTAGCTTGCCGGGCTCTCTGAGAGGGGCAGAGGAACCGAACTTGGATTGGCCATTTTGGCTGCTTGTAAGGCAAACGCCCTACCGCTGTGCTATTGCTCGGCAAAATGGACAAAAAAATCTGATTCCAACATTCTGCTGCCTAAAGAGTCAGAGCAAACACAGACTCAAAGGATGGAAAAACAATCCTTCAAGCAATCAGCTCCCTCAAAAAGGCCTGGGTGACCATACCAGTATTCAAAAACATAGATGTTAGGCTGAAAAAGAGTAGAAGGATATGTACATCAGGAAGAAATCACACTCCTAAACATATACACACCTAGTGAAGGGCCAGCAAAATACTTAAAACAACTGCTAATAGACTTCAAGGAGGACATTGGTAGCAACATAATAGTAGTCGGAGACTTCGACACCACCTTATTACCTCTTGAAAGACCAATGAGACTAAAACTCAGCAAGGAACTATTGTCTCTGAAGGGAATAAATGAAAGAGGAGTGCTAATTGAGGAGGGCTAGTAGATACATACCAACTTTTCATCCCTCAAAAGCTGAATGCACATTCTTCTCCAATGCACATGAAACATTTTACAAGCTAGATCATTGGCTGGGCCACAAAATATACCTCAATAAAATTTAGAAGATAGAAATTGTATAACCTGGTTTTCCAGTCAACAATGCACTGAAGATAGAAGTTAGTCACACACAGAAATGGAGAATCAAATCAAACAGCTGGAAATTAAACAGCTAATTGATGAACAACCAGTTAGAGAGGAAATCAAAGAAGAAAGCGAGGATTTCTGGAAACAAATAAGAATGTGGACACGAGCTGCCAGAAGTTGTGGGACACAGCTAAAGCAGTGTTAAGGGAAAGTTTATAGCTCTGGAAGAATTCAGGAAGCAAGAAAGAGCTCACACAAATGACTTGACTTCACAGCTTAAGATATTAGAAAATGACCAACAAAAGGAGGCAGGAGGAAAGAAATAATAAAATTTAGAGCAGAAATCAACGAGCTGGAATCCCAAAACACAATACAAAAGATCGATGAAACCAAGAGCTGGTTCTTTGAAAAAATAAACAAGATTGATAAACCACTATCAAGACTCTGGTGTACTCATGTGAGTGCGTGCATGTGCGTGCGTGCACACACACAACATGCACACTCACACACATGGGGATAGAGGGAGAAAGAGAGAAAGAGAGTAAACGAGAGAGAGAACCACAGTAAACTGAATCAGAAATAAAAAGGGGGACATCACAACAGAAACCATGGAAATTCAAAAGATTATCAGTTTAAGAATCTGCATGCCATGAAACAAAAGAACCCAGAAG